CAAGTATGCCAGGTGTCCACGTAATCAGGAATCCGTCGCCACCCCCTACACAGTGAGATATTCATGCTAGACTGATCTAACCACTCTAATGTGATTATGAATAGCACATGGTGTTGCAGATATTGTTGTGCATAGGGTCACTGATAACTAGACCTGTTCATGGGCCGGGCTTTGTATATGTATCAACAAAATACACTCAGGCCTGAGCCTGAGCCTGGCCCGACCATCGGGCCTAAGTCTTGAGCCCGAGCCCAGCCCTTACATAAAGCCCGAAGCCCAGGCCCAAGACCAAGCCCGGCCAGAAATTTGAAAACAGAAGTTTTTCTTTTTTTTATTCAATAAAAAAGTTTTTTATTTATATTAAAAACCTTCAAAACTCAAAAATAATAAACATCTCACTGTTACTTGAAAAAAAGAGAAGAAGAACAAAGAAAAAATATTGTATATATATTTATCAAGTCAGGCTCAGGCTCAGGCTGGGCTTTTTCGAGAAAGCCCAAGCCCGGCCCGAAAAAACAGTTGGGCCCGATGCTTTAGGCCCGAGCCCGAGCCCACAGGCCTAAGATTATGACCAAGCCCGACTTAATAACGGGCTGGGCCAGGCCACCCGGCCCATGAACAGGTCTACTAATAACAAAGATAAAAGACGATTAAACAATACAATCAGTCAATCAAAACAAACACACAATAAAAAACACAAGAATTTATGTGGTTTCGCTTGAAAGCCTACATAGATACAGATTTTTAGAAAATGTTCTCGTGGCTCTCGATGAACAAATTGTTTAAAAATAGAAATTTCAGTTCCTCTTTTTGTCTATGATACCCTTTTTGTAAAGCAGGGTTTGGAGGTATAGGACTGCAGGGGCAGTGGCTGTAAAATCCCTATGTACAGCAGCTTGTTGTACATGTTTTTTTCTTTATTAATGATATTATACTTTATCTTCTCTCAAAAAGAAAGCAACAAGAGGACAACTAATCTCTGATCTGAAGGATTAAGAATATAAGCAATCTAAAACTACATATAGGCCCTTATACTATCTACCCAGTGCAATCTATAATTCCCAATCCATCTCCACTTGAAAAAACAAGTATTGGAGAAACCTAAAACTGTGCAACCGGGCTAGGATCTTAGCTATTATCTAATATCAACAACCTACTGAGCCCAAATAGGGAAAAAATTGGTCTCTCCCCCATAATTGCTAATAGCCCCACCAACTCTTTATAGTCTCAGGTCCCAAATAGAGGACACCTTTACCCTCTAACCACACCATCTATCAATAAATTTCTGAAATTATCTCCAGTCTATATTCAATGTTCAGCAACCACTTATGATAGTCATGATTTGATTGCTTACATTGGACATAGACTAGAACTTCTTCCTAGTCTATAGCCATTAGGTAATGGCCTTTTAAAAAGATGATTCCTTCATCCCCTAACCACAATATCTTACATGACTGTACAATAACTACTTGAAGTAAACAGATCTCAATCACCCTCTCTCATGTTCCCCTATAGCTTTATTTAAATCATGACCCTAATAGAATACTTGAAATTACAAATTGGAAAGAAAAAGCTGCAAAATGGAAACGATAACAAGAAATGATAGGTGGACAGAAGACCCAGCAGATTTTATAGTGGTATTTCCTCCTCCTCCTCCTCCTCCTCCTCATCATCATCATAATCCATGCCTTATCCCAACTAAAGGGAAATGTGTTAGTTATTAAACAAAGTACATGCACAATCAAGGTTCAAAATTTCGATATGATATGCCCCGTATCGGGCGTATTATATCGTATCTTTTGGGTCCTGATACGCCTGTTTACAGTATCACAGGTGTTTCGGGACCCCACTCTTTTTTAATGAAAAATACATGTATTTAACTCCCCAAAAACCAATTCTTGAAAAAAAAACCATGTTTCCGCGTGTATCAAAGTACCAATACGCCTCTGCCAATACACAGAGGCGTATCGATATTTTGAACCATGTGCACAATATACCTTTTTTTTTTACATTTGTTTATGCATTAGGTATATTTAACAACTAAATGCCTTTTATAATGCCTCATGTGTAACGCCATCTTTCACCAATGAATCAACTCATAACATACATTCTCTAAGAACCCATCTCAACGAAGCTGACAAGAACAAAACCACATCTTATCTTTGTAATCGGTGAACCGATCACAATAGCACTAAGGCCTCTCGGTTTGGCTGATCCAAAATCGTTAATTGAGTGGCCTTTAACTGATTGTGACCTGAAATTCTTCTTGGTTAGTAGCACGTCCAAAACTAAAAACTTTTCTTTATCTTTATTTGAATCAGTTTCTCCCACCAGTCCTCATGGAACATCAAATTGTGAAACCATCCTTTTTTTCAATATATCGGCAACAAAACAGTGAATACGGAAATAGTGGAACCATCTCGACACGTAACGGCACTCCCAACTCCCCCCAGTCGAGAATTCCGAGTTACCAGCATAGACTCACTGAATTGAGCTATTCAGTTGATGGATAATCAGTTAAGTAGTTCTCCAAGAAAGCCATACTCAATCAAATTAAAAAGAAGAAAGAAAAAAATACCTCTTTTATCTTTCTCTTCATTATACATGCATCTCGGTTTCCTTTATGTAATAAGAAAATGAACGGGAGTGATGAGAATTAAAGCAGTAACCACAATACAAAAGTCTTCCCTTAGTATAAAGCAAAACCCTAATTAATTCGTTTCTTCTGTTTCTCATACTTTTCTCCTTATGGGTCACAAATGTTAATGCAGCTCTGTAATTGAAAAGCGTACCTTCGCAGGGTCAATACACACTGCACTGCACTGCACCGTGTCAGTGAAGAAGCCCTTCTAGTCCAATTTCACTAATCCTGCAGAGATGATCTGCCTTTTCACTAACGAGGCGACTACAGAGAAAGAGGGAGAGGGAAATGCAAAATTAAGTAAGTATTGAAAGCAAGTTCAGAGCTTCGAGTTCGATGGTTTTAGCTTGGACGTTAGCTTTTGAGGTGGCACCGGACAGACCCAGAAGGTTCAACTCCAAATTCTACGGAGTGGTTTGCGTGGGGAATTCCGTGCTGTCAAATTTCGGCGATGCCACACCTACAGAACTATTTTCCTGTACGCTTCACAAACGCAATATACGTCATATATCTTGAACATTTTGTCTCTCATTCCGAGTTCCACTTTCCAACCTCAACTGCCGTACCGCTTTTCCATTGCATGCCTTACATCATCATATGATACACCAAGCATATGTGTGGAGTTCGGCTTCAGGGCAAAGCCCATTGGAGTTGCTTTTACTGCCTTGTATTCGGAATATCTCCGTACTTGTGTGTTTTATTGGAAGATATTCTCAATGCACCTTGCAAAAAGATGGTAGAAGTATCTTCTGTGAGACGTGCTAGTCTCCACCGATGCCGAGACCAGATCTTTTCCTCACGCATGGCGCCTCACACCATACGGGAGATGTTCCCAATGCACGGTGGAATATGCCTGTGAGGTCGTGTGAGACGCCCTGAGTGAGGAGCAAGACTCCAAATGAGATTTCAATTCTATCATGCCTATCGTTGAGTTCCAACACCAACAATAGGTCTCTTTCTTCCCTAGAAAATTGATTACCTTTGAAAACCCTTAGGCTCCGTTTGATTTGTAAAAAGATTTGGATGAGATGGGATAGAATAGGAATTTGTAAAAATTTAACTTTCCATTGTTTGATTTTATATATAGGAAAATAAAAGGAAAAGCATTGATGGTTCTTCGGCAAAAAAGCACTGTTGGTTCTTCGTTGCTGCCCAGTTCTCTTGCCACCGCCATGTAATCACAAAGAACAAGGTACAAGGAACAGGGAAGCACTATTGGTTCTTCGCCAAAAAAGCACTCTATTGGTTCTTCATTGATGCCTGGTTCTCTTCGCCGCTGTTTGGTTCTCTTCGCCGTTGCCTGGTTTCAATAGTCACGACTCACTAGAGAGGCGCGGGATCACGCCCATGTAATCACCGCCTCTCCCTAGTCATCTGTACTCTGTTTCCTCAGTCCCCACCCTATGAGCAGTGCACCTCCTCTCCTTCCAATAGTGTCGAGTTTCTCTGAGCAGTGGCAATGGACAACAGTGGAGAAATGAAGTTTCCCCAAGCATTGATGGAGATTGGAGGGCAGGAGGGGACCTACTGAGTAGCGGCAGCGGACAACGATGGAGAAATGGAGTTTCCCGAGCAGTGATGGAGATTGGAGGGTAGGAGAGGACCTACCTTCACTCCTTCCGAGCAGGAGAGTAAGGCAATGAATAATAATTTTTTGAGTTTTTCCACCGGGGTCTTGGTGCGACCCCGATTCCACGTTTTAGAATCTCGCATCCCACCTTTTTCTCATCCCTTCCCTCTATTTCCCTCAAAACAAGTAAGAGAAAAGGGAATATCATCCCCATCCCACAAAACCAAACAGAGCCTTATATCCTCCTCCTTGAACTGTGAACGGTGAGCTCTGGCAGTGGACGACAGGACCAATTGAATAGAATAGTTCGAACGACGACAATAACTCAGACGGCGACCTGTGATCTTAATAATCTCTGTTAGTGTTAAGCATGAATAACTCTATAGTGGAAGCTAATTTAAATCGATCGTTTGGTTTAGATTTCTTGTGATTTTTAAGTATTTTTGTTTTTATAGCATAAATCCAATAAACTCATATTAAATTTTGAATAAACCCTAATTCTCTCCACCCAAAACCCTTTAGAAATACAACATCGAAAGAGAAAAGGATTTTTACAGTCATACTCTTTGTAAATTTTGTAAGATGCTATACTCTTTGTAATTAGGGATTTCTTTATCATTTTTCACTTCTAAGATTAAACCATACCCTTATAATTTAAGTAAAGATTTCTTTGTCACTTTTCACTTCTATATCAGTTATCCTGTAACTTGTTAGCTAGATTGAATGATGACTTATGTTTGACTTTCGTTCAACTTTTATTTTTGTTGTTTCAAAAATTGCAAAGCTAACTTCACATAAATGCAACAACTACATACAATAAAAAGAATAACAATTCCAAATACCAATGCATCTTTACTCTCCTAACAATTTCAATCTCCTTACAAAACTCTTCAACTTGTACATGTAAAACCTGAAACCACTCTTCTAATGCTCTAACTTCACGCTTCAATTCAATCAATCATCCTTGAATACCTTGTTGAACCACCCTTTGGCCTTTGCATAATATGATCTGGGTCCTCAACCTCTCTATCAAATGTTATTGGGTTGCACCGAGAAAGAAAGTTGCACCCCTCATTCTTCGCATTTCTCTACAAAACAAGATACTCAATATTCAATGATAGTAAATCCACCATAATTGCAAAGAAAAAATGAATAATATTCATACATTCTACTGAATAAAAAGCAAAGTTGGGACTTATTTATTAGCATGTTTCTAATAACCTTTCCATTTTTTATTTTGCATTGATATATATATATATATGGTGCTGTTTTAACATTTTTCCTATAATATATCTTTTACACTGCAAGAAAATTTCAACATTATTTGTGAATCTGTATTATTTCATGTGGAAAATATCTTTGAAATTAAATTTGATTTGCAACACAAAGCTTTTACACTAGTTTCCATGCTAGAATGTAAACATTTTTTGTCTAAATATTTTGGATTTTAGTATATAGAACACTGATTTCCAAATTTGAGCAAAATGACTTAGGGAGCAAAAATATCATCATTATTTTAATATTCTCTAGAAGTAGTTAAAGAAAAAAAAAACAGGGAAAAGCAAATTAATCTATTTAAGAGGAAATTAGATGAAATGCCAAAACCAAGAAAAAACATATTATAAAATAGAAAGAAGATGAAAGAACAGAAACCACCATAAGTCGTTTATCACAAATTTACAAATTAAGAAATCGTTGACAAAATATTCCTTAACATATTCAAGATCTAGGTAGCAATAAAACAAACAGGCAAAAAATTCATACAAATAAATGAGGAAACTGATTATCAAAAAAAAAATGAGGAAACTAAATTAATCCAGTGAGGTACGCAAGCTTGCATTTGAACAAATGAACCTTAAACTAACCAAAGTGAAATAGCTACAACCCAAAATAGGGAGTATTTAGATGCATACAATAGGGGTGGGTTTGAGCCGAGTTGAGCGGACTCCTTGGTTATTTGAACTGGGCTCGTAGAAATAGTATTAGGTTGGAGTTCGACTAGTAAAAATAGTATGACCTCGAGTTCCATTAGATTTAGAGATTTGAGCTCGGGCTCAACTGGATTCATAGTTCGCAAGTTTAAGACTATAAGCCAAGTTTTTTTGTTGAAAAATAAAAATTATATATATAAAATTATTTTTTCAGACAAAAAATTAAGAATTATAAAAATTATTTATTATTATACATAAAAAATAAAAATATTATTTTATATATATATATATATATGTATATTCATATATATTGACATGTATATATAATAAAAATTATTTATGTAATACTAGACTAATGAACCTCACGAGTCGAACTTCACTAGGTTCGACTCGAAAGCTCCGTTTAAACCGATCTCGAATAACTCGTGAAAGATTCGACTCGTGGATATAATAAAAGTTATTTATGTAATACTAGAATCGTGAACCTTACGAGTCGAACTTCACTAGGTTCGGCTCGAAAGCTCTGTTTAAATTGATCCGAGTGTGAAAGGCTCTACTCGTGGCCACCCTTATGCATACAAGAAATTGAGCCATAGAGAGAAAATAAGCAAAAATCTTTTCGTCCAAACAAAATTTGGGAGCAAGAAAAGTAGACAAAGAAGAGAAGTTGATTATGTCGGAGAAAGCTTTGGGGTTTACTGTAGAAGAAGAAGAGGAGGAGGAGAAGACTAGAGGGAGATGTACCCGGTTATGCCGGAGAAAATATCGGTGCATGCTTTCTTGGTTTTCGGTGAGGATGACCTTTCCGTCGGAGTTCACCGCTCACAGTTGAGGGAGGAGGGTATAATAAGGGTTTTCAAAGATAATCGGTTTTCTGGGAAAGAAAAAGACCTGTCGTTGGTTTTGGATGTCAGTGACATGTCTTAACAGAATTGAAATCTCATTTTGAGTCCAAGACTGCCGTTAGTTTGGACTCCCGATACCTTTTCAAGAAAGAGGCTGGGCTGATGCGTGGAGGCTTTTTATTGGTGGGGACTAGCAAGTTGCTCGTCCAAGGGACTAGCAGATGTGGACTCCTGTGAGACTACGAGCATCTCGTCACTTGAGGTGGGTCCAGTAAGAACTGCATTTTTATAATATAGAATTTAAGATATGATTTTCTAAGGTTACCAAGAAAAAAAAATGTATATATGCTCAACATTTTTATTTTGTGTTTAGGATAAAGTTTTGTGAAAATTCTCCAAAATTTTATATATTGTTAAGAATTTATTCATTGACTTAATTCAAGAATTCAACAAAAGGCATTCAACCCAATTAGTGAATGGGTTCTTTGCAAGCAAAAAATCTACACATAGGCCCAGTTGGTTTTTAGGATTTTGAAGGGAGAAAGTTGATTAATGGGATTTTGGTTCTTATTAATTAATTTATCTTCTTATTTCACAAACGTGTGGGAATTACAGCAAAATTGATTTTTCTGAGTATCACTTATTTGGCTAAGTGGTACCTTTCTTAGACTTAGGTAAGTTGAGTTTCCCAAGCAAATGGTAAATGAAATGATAAATAAAAATGCTCAAAAATGACACTATAAGATACATTTATCCAGGTAAATTACACGAAAAAGAACATGAGTAAGAAGATAAATTAATTAATAAGAACCAAAATCCCATTAATCAACTTTCTCCCTTCAAAATCCTAAAAACCAAGTGGGCCTATGTGCACTTACCTAGGTATGGAGGTTTCTAAAAAATGAACAGTGCCATATTGTTAAAGCATGGGAATCCAGCTTTATATTGGAAACTATTTCCTCATGATGAATTTAAAGATATTTCCAGTGTATTAGGGTTGGTCATCAAAAACCGAAAAAATAAAACCAAACCAAAAATTCCAGTTAACCGAACCAATCAGTTTGGTTTTGGTGGTATTTTTGAAAAACCGAAGGCACCGGTTTGGTATTTTTTGAAAATTTGAAGGCACTGATTTGATATTTTTAAAAAATTGAAGGTACTTGTTTGATTTCGATTAACCAAATCATGAGCACCCCTACAATGTACTGCTAGATGTTAAGTGAACAATGTTCTTGCTTGGAGGAGATCTGGTCTCACCCAATTAAGCATTCACCACTACATGGGGTTGAGTACATGAGTCTTGTTCCACCATCTCACTTTGGTTTGTGACATATCCATGGTTAAGGTATCATTAGATTATAGGGGTTTTTATAGTTCAGTCCACCCCTAGGGTGGAGCTAGGATTTCTAGGGGTGGATTGAATCTGCCCGTGGATTGATGTCAAGTTCACATACAGGATGTGATTTATAAAGGAGGTTACTAATAGATTAGGAGGGGGCGGAAAAAAAAAAATTTGAGAGAAAATGCGGTCCAAAAATCCTTAAATTTAAACATCACCACATACTACTTAACCCATGCTCTCTATCTAGTCTTAGTCTTAGAGCAAAAATCCGGATTGACAACTTCAAGCCACCCTCATTTTT